CGCTCGCTGTTATTGGTATATTCTTCCAGATTTAAAATTCTGATTGGATGATCTAGAAGAATACACCAATAACAGCGAGCGCTCTCGTAGCGCTCTTTTCTGCTGAATGCGCCCAAATGATGTCGATGCCCACAAGGCAAGTAAAAGTAAGATGGCAACCACCAAGGGCAAGTAAGTAGAAATGCTTGACATATATGAACGTAAATCCCTCACAACAGTGATTATCGGAGAGTCAATTTATTTCTGTCTTTATTTATAGATTGGAGGATTGCGAGGTATGCGGCGCGGCTAAGGCGCGGTACACCTGCCCGAAATGTGAGGTTAGAACATGCTCTCTCACGTGCGTGAATGTTCATAAGAAGGAACTGGAGTGCAATGGGATCCGGGATCCAACAAAGTTCGTCCCTTTAGCGTCGTTTAGCGACTTAGATTTATTGAGCGGTAAGTATAAAGACGGAATCCTTTCTCCGTTTAAGTTACCTGAGACATCTTAAAATTTTAACACTTGATATTTTCCAGATTATCGCTTTCTTGAGCAAGTTGGTAGATTAGTTGATACAAAGAAGAGAAATCCAGAGATAAAATATACTCGCCAAGTTGCTCTACCAGTGGTACGATATTTTCTCTTTTTGTATATATTTTTAGGGTGTCACAAAGTCACAGTGTCTTCTTTTTCAGCACCTACATAAATTGAGATGTGCCGCGTCCTGTAGAAAGGTATTGCTGTTATTTATGCCGCAAGTCTTTAATCGCCACAAGGAGAATACTACGTACCTTAATTGGAAGAACAACGAGTTATTCTGGCGTCTAGAATGGATTTTTCCACAAGCTGAAAACATAAAGTACACAGTAGATAGGTACATACAATTGCATGTTGTTTCTAAAAGTTAATAATCAGTTTTTAAGTAATAAATAATATAGTATTATGTTTATTATAGAGCCCTAGACAATGTGAGATTATCAGCATTGGTGGAACAAGTTTTAGATCCAATCTCTGCGATAGATGAGATTGACATTGAAAAATTAAATGCAAAACTGCTTTTAGCTGATAAATTACAGTTTTATAGAGCAGCTGGATTAATTAATATCAAAGTTCTTCTAAAAGCCGAGAAAATAAAGAAGGCACAGTCCAGGTAGATATTTCTTTGTTTTCTCATCTTATAGTTAAAGTACTTAATTGATTGTAATTGATTAATCTCTTAGGTTTTATGATTTGGATCTTATGCTTACGTTGCAAGAAAATTTGGAGAATAAGACTATAGTGGAGTTTCCAACATTGCATGTGGTTATGAAAGATCACTTAAATATGTACGATATTATAGACACTGGTAAATATTATTTATTACAATAACCACTGCAGTACTATCAATATATATTGTCATAGATCTGTATATTATATACATATTTTTTAGATGAAGAAACGAGTGATGCAGAGTGTACAAGTTACAGAGCGAAGAAAAAATACAATAATAACAGGCCCAATGATAACAAGAAAGATGAATCAATAAACTATTTCTTCAATGATTTTTCGGATTCCGATGATGAGAATATGAAACGAAAGAGAAAAAAATCGCTTAATATACCAAATTACGAAGAGTTAATAAAAATGTAAAAATTATGTTCATTATTATAAATATTGACTTATATATGGATATTTTTTATTGTAAATACATCATCGTTATAATTTTAATACAGATGAAGTACAAATGTAGTAACATTAATGATGCATATGATCGTCTATAATACATTTTTTTCTTAATTGGTTCCTTTTAGACGCGTATACTGATGATACATATATCTGCACACCACTCAAAAATACCACCGCATTAAAAAGTAATAAATATATTTTTAGAATTTATTTTATACTAACTCGGGACTCGTCTTTACAGAGGAATTTCACACAACCTGCATTTTTCAACAATGTATGATTCAACAAAGATGTGATAAATATAATTCATAAGTACAAGGAATGATAAATACTGTTGATGATATCTCTTTTTTTCTTTTTAGTAAAAAAAACTCATGGTACCTCTACTTTTCAAACAAATTTTTATTCCAGTTGATAATGTATATTGTATAAATAGAGATAACTTATTTTTCATTATTACAAACTACGAAAATAAATAAATCGCACAAATATTTGCTGTTTTTAAAATGATGAATATATTGTATCATTTTTATGTAGAAATTACTAGATCCCTTCCACAAGATTATTAGAACGATTCAATAAAAATATTATAATAAAAATATTATGTCTATTCATTTCTATATAACAAAATATTATTTTGTCATTGAACAACACTAAAAAAATCATTTAATATTTTGTTATATGCTATTTTTTTTTATAAACATAATTTTTACATGGATCAATTTAAATGTATGAATATAATACAATACATTTTCGCAGTTTTTATCTTGTACGTAAAATTTTAATTTCTCTCTTCTATAAACGAATGTTGAAATCACACAAATACTCCATAATGAGCGAGATAAACAAAAACATTCTATTCTTGAAAATGGAATACCTTTTTGTCGTATATCAGTTTTGTTTTATTCACATTGTTTAACTAAAGAATAAAGAAATATAACAGAAAGACCAAAAATGCAATAAGACCAGCAACAGCTTTCACATACATTGATTTACTGTTTAGATGTCTCGCGTCTTTTTTATATTTCTGCGACAACATAGACAAGTTTTGGGTCTTTGAATCCAATTCTACAAAATACAAATAATATTTTAGTACACATAGATTTCTGCATTTGCGTTTATAGCTTTTTACACAAACGGAACAGTCCTATATTACCTGAGAGTACGGTACCCCTTTGTAAAACATCATCGATATTTTGTACCATGATTCTTTGTACATCTTGCAACTGGCTGTTAAGCGTATTCAAGTTTCTGCGAGATCTACTGTCCATAAAGATCTTTTTAGCTTTCTGAATGTATGTATCTGAGAAATAAACAATGTAAAGCGATATATTCAGTTAACACACTTACACAGTTATTTATAACATACCGAATTCAATAAAGGTATAAGGCCTGGTCACTGTATTTACACGTTTTCCATACTGAACATGAAACTCTTGTGCTATATCTTCCAAGTAGCTGTAAGCTGTGCGCGTGCTATAATTCCTTTCGCATAGTACCAGATAACACACCTCATTTTCAATTAAATAGCTATAAACAAAATATAATATATACTGCTTAAAAATAGATAGATGAAACTTGCTAAGGACATTTAGGTTCTCAACTCGAGTGTATCATTTTGTAAGCTTTGAGCTTTTTAATCTTTATTACGTGACCAAATTATTAAATCATTTTATCCTACTTCAGTGAATAAGGATACAATAAATATCAATGGGACACTCTCAGATAGGTAATTCAACTACAGCCCAACTGTCACTTACTGAAAAAGATATGGTCCAGTTTCGAGAGTACATCTTGTTGGAGACTGTGGACCTAGTTTTCTGAATAGCATCTTAGCTTGATTCTGATATTCCACAATATTCTTACCATCCTATGGTACAAAATAGAACATAATCAATTTGCATAAGTCTAATGAAATATATAAATACATATAAATAAATTATACACAAATATATATATAGACAAAAATAAGTTTTACAAAATCCAAGTAAACAAATGCCAGTCCAAATATTGAGAGATTTGCTTAAAAAATCTAAACCTTTATGTCCATTTCCAACAATGTAGATTTACTTTAATCTCTGTCTTTATCTAGTTATAAAATCTATATATCTTTATCTAGTTAGAAAAATAAAAAAAGGATGGAGCAAGATTTAAGTTAATTACACTGGTGAAAAGAAACAGTTACTTTTAATAAATAAATTTCAGAACCCCTTCTCCCATATTGTCAGTAATAAGACTTCCGTCGAGAACAACACAATTGCAGAAGTGTGATGATGGACTTGTAAGAATGAGGTGATGTTTCATCACACATCTAACCTGCTCAGTGTCCTGCATAGTGGCCGCCAATGGTAGGCCGTCTGCCACCCTCGCGATTATCGTGAACAGGACCATCCTGTCGCGAGGATCAATTCACCGATCCCTGGTGACCCTGGTCTGGAATGAGCGAGGAGAAGAATTAATCGCACAATCGTCGCGCTGTCCGGCGACTTCAACGTCTGAAGACCATTCGAACTGATCGCCGATGTGGCCACCGCGCGTCCACTCCCGACCCACCACGTCAGTCGATCCGGTCGATCTGCGCGCCGATCGCTCGGCCGCGACGACGATCGCTTATCCGCCGAGTGGGCAAACAGGTGTACGCACTGTACGCTTCGCGTCGCCAGTCGACGTCGTCCGCGTCGTTGGCGAGCGCATCGTCAAGAGATTGTCTCTTTTATTCCTGCACCAAATTGCACTAGAATTCTTTTTCTCACTTTCGCCAAACATCAAACCTATATATCTATCTTATTTCAAGTTCCAAAAGTGTACACACTAGTTTACCACCGCGAGTCGCAAGGAAATTGCGCGTTTTCGAGACGAATGGTTACTGCTGTGTCGTCTTCCTTCCTGCGAGAAAATCAAAGGAATTGCCTGTTGAGAAATATTGCCGCGTTCGAATCGACCGGGGCGGTCGCCATCTCAGTCGCCATCTTGCGCGCGCGCGCGCGCTCGGCTCGGCTCGGCTTCCGGCCTCGGCGTTTGACGTTCGTCCCGGTTCCGCTCGCGTGGAAAGACTGGAACAGACTGGAAAGTCGCCGTGGGGGAGAAAGGATTCGTGACGTGCTCGACCGAGTCGTGTTTGCCTCTCTCTCTTCCTTTCTGCGTGAGTCTGTCTTACTTTCACGCGTACGTCGAAATGTCCGCGTACTCCTAACTAAGATTGAGCGCGCGCGGCTATCGACGACGAGGACGACGACGTTTGCTTCGTCGTGAGGAGAGACCCGCAGAAGTGCGACAGCAACGGCTAATATAATGCGTATACCGGACGCGTGGAAACGGCAACGCGATAGCTTTAGGTGAGTGAACGCGTATGCAAAGGTCGACTCTCCCAGCTGGTCACACGAACCTTGCGGTCTCGCCGCGCTTTCCGGACGGCGACGACCAGGAAGCCACTCTGCCACGTCCGTGATTACATAATTACGTTAAATTGACCGCCTCCGCACCGTCGGGGCCGAGATTCCTCGGCTGGTAGGACTCCTCATCGGTTATTATATGGTCGAAGGCCCTCCTTTCGCTCGCCAAGGTTTACGAAACAATGTCGTCGCATATAGGTACACTTAAGAATCGTTTTCGTCGCGTATTCGTTTTCCTTTTCTCCCTTCGACGCACTGAGGAACCTTCGGAAATCATCCAGTGCCACGGAAACTCGCGGTTAATGACCTATTTATAATTCACCCCCGTGTACTAAGGCTGTCAGTGTCGCAATGACAAGCGTTTTCCTCAGATCGCGCGAATGGCCGAGTTGATCCATTGAACATTAATGTTTTGACGATAAACTTTCCTTCTTCAGGTCGTTACATGACAGCGAAAATTATTCTTGGTGTATTGCCAATCGTGTAAAAGTAACACATGTACACTGAATACGCACGATAGAATTGTATGAAAATGTTTTGTCATTCTCTCTAGAATTTTTAGAGTGAATCTTACCTTGAAGAGTAAAATCTTGCTCTTAAAATTTGAAAATTTAACTTTTTTTAATTTTTTTTTAAGACTAATTCAATCTACTGCAAAAAAAACTTAGAGAACGTATTTCTATGATTTTTACTTAATCTATGCTGTCTGTTGAATTTTTATTTGAGATATTTCATCACATGTGTGTTTTATTTTGTATCGTTTGCATTTACAGATCTCAAAGATTGCTGTGAATCAGGCCTCAAAGTCCTGAGCAGGCAGCATGAATGTAAGTATATGTCGGATACTTTACAAGTCATAAGTTATACAACAGATTAAGTGATTTAGATGTTAAAATAATTTAACTGCATTCGTAGAATCCTTATCGAGCTAGACCCACCAGATCTCGGGTGGATCATTCAGCTGCGTATGGAATACGCAACCAAAATATGTGGATGCCCATGTCTGGACCTCAATCAGATGTCCCACCAAATGATACCACCCAGCAGTCTCTTGTGAATCAGTCAAAACATGCCAGTGATACATGGAAGGATCCCTGGGACTGGAATCTGGACCAACAGTCAGATACCCAGCAGCAGCAATTACCACCGCAGCAACCATCATCACAACAGCAACAGCATTACATACCCTCGTATCAGAATCAAGGACAGTTGATATCTGCTTCTGTGCAGAACCATTATTACAATAATCTTAATGGTAATACGTCCGATGTACTTAACCAGAACTCCATGTCAGGCAGAGACACTCCTAGGTCAAAGTCCACTCATCAGACTGGGTCGAATTACACAGATTCTTTCCCGCCCTACGCGAATTATAATCAAAATCAGCAGTATCCGTTGCCACCCCGACAGAACAACGCGAAATCTGGTTATGAGCATGCTCAATGGCCGAATGAGCATCAGTCGTCAAATGCAGCTTATACTCAGCAAAGACTTGTCCAGAGCCAAAAGGATCAACCACCACCATTGCATCCACCACCGATGGCGGCACATAACAGTTATAACTGGAGTAAAGACGATGCAACAAACTTACCATTGCAACGTAATTGGCAGAATCATACCGATACGCTAGGTCAGTGGCAGGATCAAAATAAGTTGCAGGAGATGCAACAGTCAACAATCGACAATATGAGCAATCAGTGTGCGCAACCATTGCAAATATGCAATGCGCCTGTTGAGGGGGTCAGTAAGGAACATTCTATGAACTGGTCTATCAATGAGCAACAGAGTAACGAAGCGAGTAATACATCTAATACCGTATCGAATCAATGGCATAATCAAAATCGCGAGTTCCAACATCAATCCGCGCATTTAATACAAACAAATGACGTAGATGACACCCTTTCTTCTTGGCCGCAGTCGGGCAATATCAGTGCCTCACACAATTGGAGACATTCTAACACGCAAAACGAATCTGTACATTCTACACAATGGTTGCAACCAACGGGTGCAGATAACAGTTCGTTTACTCAGAACGTAGCACATGATAATAACAGCGTTAGATTTGCCGTAAACGAATGGCAACAACCACACGTAGCGCCATTCCACTATGCCCCACCATCTACAACTATACCTACGAGTGTAGAAAATATTGTACATACACCCAATAATAATGAACAAGAGAAAGAGAAGCTAGCTGCAGTAGCTTCTATCACACCAACTATATCGCCTCACGATTCCATCAGTCACGCAAAATCGAGCGATATCAAGTCACCAATTGGAGATCACCATAATCTGAATGTACTTACTGATGATACACCAAAAAATGATCTTTCTAAAACCATTCTTAGCGAAAAGGATAACCGTTCTTTTGGTTCTACAACCGCAGATGAATTAACCAGTAGTTTTGGTCATCTTAATCTTAGTAGTAAGTCAGGGAAACATGTAGATCCTTCAAATGAATCGTTAGAAGTACATTCAAACCCCGTTCTCCAAGAAGAGAGAGCTCAACACCCTGCTAATTTCAATGTCGCGAATATTCGAGATAATTCTGTTCCCGATAATATCCCCGTGTTACCTCCGGATTACGCTGCAAGCGGTATAGAGAATTCTCATTCTGTCGATAGCCAGTCAGTTGTCGGTCCTCTATCAATGTTGAATACATATCAAAGTGGTTCTGCTAAAATAACGGATAGTATCTCACAAAGCGGTTATGATCAATGGTATAATCAAAACACGTTAGAGAATGCATGGTATGCGAAAGATCATTCGCGTCCACCTTCCAAACAGTGGAACGTTCCTGAGCAGAACGTCGAGAACTATGAGAACATCCAACAATCATCAGATTTCATAAACGTCGAGGTTGTTGCGCCTGCAACGCTGAAGGAGCGCGATATCTACGGTTCACGAGATTCTATAAACAAGGAAACGTTGGACAACGATCCCAAGCCGAGCGCGAGTCCCAAAGAAACAACGAATATTCGAGATTTCAGAGAGGAGGTGAACAACGTCGAAGTGCTGTCGATGCAGCAGCAAACCCGATCTCATCCACCTCTGGCGGAACAAATGCCGGATAACTATGAATTCGCCTCCAATGATAGAAATACGTTTTTAGAGACTGGCGAGTTGACGGATTCACATCAGGAACATGAACCAACACCACCAAACCAAGATGACGAGAATGATGAAGTGCCTAACGATATTCCCTTCCTACGTGAAGTACCGGGGCAATCGAGTACCATAGATCCACGTAGAAACGATCCTACAGGTCAGGAGCATCAAATGCAAACTGGACAACGTCTGCCCGATCCTAGAAGGAATGATCCATCGGGTCAGGAACAAAGTATACAAGTTAGAAATATACCTGATAGAGTGGAACGTCGCGACGTCCTTCCAGGGCAAGAAAGAAATGTTCCTCTGTTATTACGAGGTGATACGGACACGTTAGAACGGCGGAATGATCCTTCGGGTAGGGAACGTTCTCTTCCACCGCAACAGCCTCTTCCATCGCGAAATGATCCGTCGGGTGAAGAGAGGTATCAGCTGCAGTCGCAGATAATGATGGAACCGAGCGAGACTCGTGAAGTTCTCGGCAGAGGCAACGAGCCTGACGAAGTTGCGCAGCAAACAGACGCGGAACGTAGACAGATACCAGGCGGAGCATCTTCCAACGACGTCACGCAGTTGTCGGACGACAGGACAACGGGTGGTAGAGTTGTCACTGGGTCTCCTCCGGAGGTCCCTTTACCAATGTCCGCGATGCAGGATCAGGCGAATGAATCACGAAATAAACGTGAGGAAGCGGTGGGCGCATCTCTGGAGAGCGAGAGTCAGGGTATCTCGAGCTCCTCAAATCGCCGGGATTCCTATGAGGATGAAGAAAATGAGACATCTCGCAACAGTAGAGACGAAAGTAGAGAGAGACGACCAAGTCCTGATCGCCGACGGTACGAATATGATCGGAAGAACGCGTACTACGATCGTGAATACGAGGATGATTATTATTACGAACGCCGATGCGTGGGCGATAATGATCGTCAGTATAGTGCTCGCGACGACTTTGAGCGACGGGATGTTCCGTATCGGGAAGATGAACGTAAGCATCACAGTCGTGACGACTTGGATCGACATGGTAGAGACGATATGGACAGAAGAATCAGAGGCAAAGAGGATCTAGATGAAAGGGACAGTAAAAGAAGACCAGACGATCGCAGAAGAGACAGAGGCGATGATCCACGTCGTCGAGACAGAGATCTAAGAGATTACGATGCACGATATCCTAGAGATCCTAGAGATAGAGAATATATAGATCGTGAAAGGAGAAGGGATGATAGACGATCACGAAGATACGAAGATTACGATATTAGAGATTCGTATAGAAGGGACTACTACGATGATCCTTATGGAAGAAGGTATATTTTACCAGTTTATTTTCTATTATTTTTTTATAAAAAATTTCTCAAGTTCAAATGATCTATCATTATAACATTTTGATATTTTTAGCTACTACTATCATTATTGAATTTTGATACTGATTGTATTTAATGTTATATAGACTTGTAATCTTTTTTTTTTTTATGTACACCTTTTCTTCTTATAATTTTGGAAGAGATATTTATAATAACTGAATATGTATTAAAGTTTGATTTTAGAAAATGATCTGTTTTATTTAGACACATTAATTTATTGTATTTTATATTACATTTATATTTGCTCTTTCAGTTCTAGGCCTTCAAGTAGATCTTCTTACAATGATAGAGACCGTGAATACTACATGCGTGCGAGAGATCCTTATTATGCATACAATGGTATATATGATGCATCATATAGTTTGAATATAATATATATTAAAAATAATATTCTTTATGTGAAAGTAACTATTAAATATATATTTAATTATAAATATGCAGGATACAGTGGATATGATTATAGTGCTCATTATGGTAACAATTATTATGCATATCTTGAAAACCTTCGTCGGACGAATCCTGCTGCCTATTCCGAGTGGTACCACAAATATTATGCAAATCAGCAACAGCACATTGCCAGAGGAGTCAGCAATTATCCGGAGGATAGAGCCAGTGTTCATTCCGGCCGTAGCTCTTGCGACGACAGGTATGCTTTGAAATTTTTTCTTTTTAAAAAAAATAAAGAAGTTAAGAGTTCTTGAAAAGTCAGTTTTGTTTCTTATCTCAGATTTTATCACATTTATTGTATGTCAGATTTTTTCCAATCCTAAGTGCATGTTTCCATTCACCCAACAAGGCATTACATGTCCCACATTTTGGATATTCTGGATGGGCCGGAAATCTGCGGGAGCGCAGTACGGTTTGTCGCAATTTTAATAGGTGAGACCGGGGGTCTTCTCTCGGTTCGAAATGTTTAAGCTAGACTTATCTAAAATTCAATTCCTCTCTTCCTAGTATTTTAAAATTGCAATCATGATACATACAATTTTAGTTAAATATATGTATCGTATAGAAAATCTGTAGAATTATTCATAATAGTTTGCATCAACCATATATTATAATAATTATAACGTATAGTAAAATACTATATAATACGACAACTGTATAGAAATATAGTAAAACTCCGTTTGTCCTATCCAAGAATAGGATAGTTTTGATAACCGTATATAATTCGGATAATAAAGGCTTATTAGTTTCCCTCTATCAGTACCTATTAGTTAGTTAATACCGATAATAGAAAACTGAAGTCGAATACGTCGAACTCTTATTATTCAAACTATGGCGTCGCGTTTTGGGCAACGAGAGTTCAGTTATGAATTTGTATATAAAGAGTGCTGATAAACGGAATTCTATTGTAATAGAAATATATGTATATAGAATTATAAAAAAAAAACTTAATTTTGTTTATATTAAATTTGTTGCAAAATTTAAGTGGAATATGCTTATTTTGTACATAATTATGTGTCTTCATATTCATCATAATATATTGTTTATGTTCTATAATGCTTTAAAGATTCTCTATTATTTGTTTATTTCAGGACTACTGGTGATAAACGAACATTGGGTGATATGTCATTATTGGAAGATACAATAATTACTTCTGCTAGATTGACACCGACTAAATATTCCACGTCTCATGCATATGGTATGATTTATGATATCAATTCTGTATGTTTTTTAATTAATACTTAATATCAATAAGTTAATTAAAAAAATCATTCTCTCATAGGATGTTTTTCCATCGGATCTTTGATACATGTTCATCCAAGTTATCCAGCTGATGGCGAAAGAGCTAAGGTGGATATTTTTCGCGTAGATAGCTTACTCTCGCATGATCCTGTTGCACGCGATTTACGATTATATCCAGGACCTCTAATTAAGTAAGTAGAATCATAAAAATACAATACAAATATATGCATTAAAAAAGTACAATTCAATACTATATACGTAACGATGTTACAGTGGTGTAACGCATAAGAAGACTATCATAGAATATTGCGAAAATAAAATTAAAAAGGCAGTGATAAATGAAGAAATAATCGATCGTGCTTCGTACATCTTGTTATACGAATTGATGATTATGTTAATTCAGCAAAATGGAGTAAGTCTCACTTTATTAAAAAAAATTATTTATAATTGTTTAAATAAATATAATATGGTTTAAATTTGCCATTCAGAACGTTGTTGGCGTCGATATTGCTGGACTTTTACTGCGTAATAAGGATGCTTATCCTTATGACGCAAATAAAATCAGATCTCAGAATGTAGGACGCAGAGAATCGCAAATATCGCAGCGATCTGGAGCAACGGGCAGCGACGGAAGTACCCAGGATATTTCAGCGTTATCTGAAAAAAGTGAAACCAAGCAGCGAAAAACAGTAGAACAAATAACAGATGAATTCAGAGATACATTACTGTATGGACGGGTTCAAGAAGCATTAGGTATATAAAAAAGGCTTTGTTTCTTTTCTCGTTAAACGTTATGATTGTCACTAATTGCTCTTCTTTCTTTTTACTTATCTATAATAGAGTACGCGATGAACGAAGGACTTTGGGGCCATGCTCTCTTCCTGGCTAGTAAACTGGATAAACGCACGCATGCTTCTGTAATGACTCGTTTTGCAAATAGTCTGCCACCACACGATCCACTGCAGACCCTATATCAACTGCATTCTGGTCGTATACCTGCTATAGTTACGGTAAGAATTATATTATATCTGTTTTATGATAAAATTATTTACGCTTTTTTGTTATGATATTAATTGTTTATTTCTTTTTTTTTCTGCAGTGCGTCGCAGATCCGCGCTGGGACGATTGGCGGCCTCATTTAGCTATGATTATATCTAATACCTCGACTAATCCAGAAATTAATCGCCGATCAATAACGACTCTCGGAGATACATTATTCGCGAGGGGCGACATCCACGCTGCACATTTTTGTTACATACTCGCGCAAATTGATTTTGGCGCTTACGGAACTAATGGAGTTAAACTCGTGTTGATCGGTGCTAACCACAACAAGTCATATTCTGAATTCTTTACTATGGAAGCAGTCATGTTAACAGAGATTTACGAATACGCTCGAAACCTTAGCGAAGCGCATTTCACATTAGTAGACCTTCAAACATTCAAATTTGATCTAACAGTGAAAATGGTGGATTGTGGATTAATAGAAAAAGCTCTATTGTATATTGAACAGATTGCAATAAATATCGCAAACGATCCATCGAAATACAAGAAATCCTTCGTCGAAGCGGTTCATGTATTAGGCGACCGAATTAAGTATCACGATCCAGTCTATAAAGACGCTATCGAAGATGCTGCAAATGTAACGTGGCTTAATAAATTAGCGGAGATAGTTGGAAAATATGAAGTAACTATACGATTTTTTTTTATAACATATTTAATTTTACTGTATATGTTAGTGCAAACATTAATTAAAATTTTGTTATAGGATAAACAGGCTGTTGAAGATGAAACATACGGTTCTCGTACTATAATAGAAAATCAGGAAATTCACGAAGTAAAACATCAGCAACAGCAACTACCGCCACTATCATCACAACAACAATGGAACACTGTACAACCCGATTACAATGACGGGCCTACGTCGATGATGGAAGTTAACACGAGTGAAATGCAATCAGATTGGCAACCATTATCTTTGCCCACAAACATTCAAGATACATATGATCCGAATGCGCAATATATGAAAAACGTAGACGAATCTGTTCAGTATCAACAACAACAGAATTATTGGAGCCAGCAGCCATATTATCAGAATAATTATGGAAGAAACGAATATATACAATCTAACTGGCAGCAACAGTCTGCACCGAGCTTAACTGATCAGACTGAAATAACTAATTCGCAACAACAAGACAAATGGAACTATGAGGTATATTAAAAAGTAGCTATATTACACCATCTTTAATACAAAAATTTAATCATTACGTATATTCCTTATAATATGTATCTACACATCTTCATAATCGTATAATTTATGTAATTTTTATGTTACTTTCATACTTTCATCGTTTCATGAACATTGATTCTTTACAAAAATGTTATATCTCAATTTTGTACAAAATTTTTTTACATTATTTACCATAAAGCATTACAATTAATTAAAGACTTATATAGTAGACTATACGCTTCCATTAGAAACATGAAGACAACATTAGTAGGGTAATATTTGATCAGATGCTCTGTCACACAATGCGCATTTGAACAAAGAAAGAAAATGAATAACTATTGCTTTTTCTTACTAATGTTGTCCTCACGTCTCCAATGGAAACGTACAGTCTAGTATATAAGTCTATACAATTAACATTTTTCACCTGTTTTTCTTTAATGCTTACTCACCGACAGACGGAAAGGGAAGACAAAATACCCACACCTGAAGTAAGTAATTACGGACTTATCTCGGATAATATTCTTGATCCTGAAAGATCGCCAAATGTTACCAGTACTAATTTGTTACGCCGTCGTAATGTATCTGTAAAATCAAATCCGTATATCGCCTCTGCATTCGATGATAATACTCCTGGTCATGTACCTATGTTCTTTAATCTGTCAGATGATAATCTCGATGTCAAAGTTTCAAATTCTCGTAAGAGGTATCCCAAATTGACTATGAACTATCCAAAAATTTTGTCAAATAACAAGATACATCCAAAAGATATTAAAAAACCAAGACGCATTGATTCTATATTTTCGAAACCACCGTGCTTGCAACTACCGGTATTCCTAAAGTGTAAGATTAAGAAAAGTAATCCGTCCGTAGATAAAGAAGAAATGGCGCCATACAAACTGAATAAAGAAGATTTATCCGTGTTGCAGACTACAGATCTAGATATTCAATTTAACAAATTGAAACTCGAGTCTCTTTTAGCGCCAGACTTATCTTTCGAAACCAAAGAGAGTCACGCTACTTTCAATAACAAAGCACAAACCTTAAAACAGTATTGTAACTTTGAGGAGAAGAAAGTTATGAGAGTTGCACCGCATATTCGCAGAAAGGATGTTATTTGCGATACGGTAGATGCGTGGTCGTACAATAATTTCGAGCAAAATATTTTCGAATCGTCCAGATATAAGCCACTAGTTTTCGGAGGCACATATCCGATTGATTTACCTCTTAGATTTAGAAATAATAATCGTCTAATCGATGATACTTTTACTAAAAATAGTACGTCTTTAACTTATGACATTGATATGCCCATAAAATGCGACTAAAAAATAATCTGTAAGCGTATATAATTGTGCCCAAGTTTTTCTGTACGTGTTAAACACAGAGTTAAGATGTAATAGTAATTCTATATTGGATTTTCTTCAAGTATTAAGAGACCATTGTTTTTTAATCTGGCAATACATATTTTTTATATAGTAAATGCTTTTAAAAAAATTATTGAAAATCAGAATTATTAATAGATTTATATATTTGATTGTAACCATATATTATCTCTCAAAAGTCAAATTTTTACATGTTACATGAAAAATATCCAAATACTACTGAGGAAAGAATCCATATACTGTGATGAAATAGAGACATAAAGAATCTTGTTTTGTGTCATTAATTAGTATTGTGTAATTTTACAAAGTTCCAATATTTTAAAAATTGTTTAAATGTATATATATATATATATATATCTATTGTTACTGTTGGCATCAAACACACATAATAAAGTTTTGTCATATAATGCATTTCCTTGAACTTTTTGAGATTATAAACACAAGTGATTATTATATAAAAGTGTAAATTATTATACATAAACGGATATTAAAGCTTTCAGACCTAGGGGCCATGTAATATTTATTAAAATGAATAGAAGACTTAATTAATGTGGATTAAAAAACTGATTTACACATAGAAAAAATTAAGAACTATTTCCACACATAAGTTTCATATTTACCACATGTCCTCTAAGTTCTGAATTCTTTTTAATAACTAATTTATCTGAATTTTTTACATTTATCTGTGATTTCTAAGATAATATGATTTTTTTCTAATGTCTTTCTGATTGTATATTTTGAACGCCCAACATATCAAGATATAGAGCGACATCATTCCTAAAATAAATCTGGTAAGCAAAGTTTCTCATGTTTTACTGTAATACATTTGTGAGTATCGCATATTTTTTAAGTGTTTTGTAGAATGCGATCAAAACTTTTAATTAGCATGTGATAGGCGAACTCGCATTGTTACAGTAAATAGTGATAAACTTTGCTGGAACAAGCTTGCGATGATCAATCGTATATTTTATTTCAGCCTGCGCAGCCAACAATCTCTATGACACCGTCAACGGGTAAGCAGTATGATCCATTGGAAGAATTAGACGCGCTTGAAACACCACGACCGACTGCTAAATCTGCGGCGGACACGAAGAAAACGACTGAAAAAACAACTGAGAAGAAACCCTCGAACAGTGGTGGTTCCTGGTTCGGTGGTTTGTTCAGTAAACTCGCGCCCAAGCCGAAAAATCAAATGATATTGCCGGACGATAGCAACCCAACGGTAAGAATTTGCCACTGCTTTGTATTTTCCTCCAGCTCATTAAAAAATTACGACGGACGGTTTTATGTTTTATGTCGTTAAGGGCTTGCGCGGATACTTTTGGTAATAGAATACTACTTATGGTTACAACAATGCTTATAAGACGGACGATAAACAGGCCAGTATGATGCCAGGGTTTTTTTGAGTAATTTTCAGCTAATTATCGACTAACAAATTGCTCTTAATACTACTCTAATTTGTTAGCTAGATTTTTTTCCTAACATACGAACGTCAAATAGTGAAGAAAAAAATTATTAGTGGAATCGTGTAATCAATTCTGTCTTTTGTTTTGCAGATTGTATGGGATCCAGTTGCTAAGAAGTGGATGAACAAAGATGAGGATGGCGACAACGGTACCGCGACATTGGCCCCACCGCCGAAAACAACCGACACGAGTTTCCGAACGCAGGCAGTGGAACGCGGTCCGCAGCCGCCTTTACCGAGTGCATACAAGGAGGATGCATCAGCGGTGGATATTTCGAAATTGCCTTCTGGTAGCAATATGTTCAAACTTCCAAAGGGTAGAAACATGCGTGCCAATTACGTAGACATGATGAATCCTGGTGGAAAATCTCAAGGTAGCGTGGCATCGTCTAATGTGGCCACCCCCATGATGTCTCCACTCGTACCTGTAGCTACCTCATCCCCGCAGATGTTTGTACCCGCGCCAAGTAAGTAATCGAATTTCTAAATTTCTTTAATTCTTCTTGGTTTTATTCGTGCGAATTTGATTCTCAGCTTGTTTTTCTCTGTATTTGAAAATATAATATTTAGAAATAGCGAAAGGTAAAATGAATAAAATACTTGAGAATTAAAGAATATAGCATAAGAATTGAAATATTGAAAAACAATTTGTCAGAAAGTAATGTTGCTTTTATTACGATAGTTAATGATTCAACTGCTCCTGTGGATTTCCTAACTCCGACACCGCCGTCTGCAAACGTCGCGGAGAATACCCCAGTAAGTGCCACGTAGTACTTGTGTGATTTTATAAATATTGAATTATATATATATATATATATATATATGTCAAGTGGGCCACCCAATTTTTGGGCTTTCTCGTCGCAGCGCTCTTTTCGCTTGTCATTAGTGGGCATGAGAGGCAAGTTTGAAAATGAAATGTAGAAGTTACCTTATAGAAAATTGAACTCTCTATCACGTAAGAATACTCTTTTTTCGATCAGACCGGTTTACGACGATGTTTGTCAGTTTTGAAGTTTTCAAAATGGTGGCGCGCCTAAAAGGCCAGTCTCAATTTTCTTTTAATATAGCTCAAAATGTAGCTCCAGGTCTCTACTTTGTTACTCTTTTGAGCTATATTAAAAGAAAATTGAGGCTGGCTTTTTAGGTGCACCGCCATTTTGAAAACTTTAAAACTGACAAACATCGTCGTAAACTGGGTATCAATCATGTAACTTTTTATCTAGAGCGGAAACGTGAAAAGTGAAAATTTTTATGAATGTATGTATGAACATATACACACATACATGCAAAAAATTTTTACTTTTTACGTTCCGCCCTAGAGAAAAAGTTACATAATCGATACCCTCGTCTGATCGAAAAAAAAGTATTCTTACGTGGAAGAGCGTTCAATTTTCTATAAGGTAACTTCTACATTTCATTTTCAAACTTGCCTCTCATGCCCACTAATGACAAGCGAAAAGAGCGCTGCGACGAGAAAGCCCAAAAATGGACGGCTCTATAGTTCGGCAACCAGTTGGCCTACAGGTATATTATTCGGCATAGAGTCTTTATTCATCAAACTGTTCAAGTTCAAGCAATATGAACGAAATCCATGAAACTTCGCAAAATGAGTGGCCCACTTGGCGTGGAATGCCCCATATATATATATTATCGACGCCAAACTATACATTTATAATACAATTCTACACACATCTGTGTCTCTTACTAAACTTTATATTACACAATACATTTATTGCCCCTTTCGTTGTGGCTGCAATTTTCTGGTATGCAGCTTAGCCTTTGTTTCAGTGTGTTTCTGAAACCATAACGTTAACATAACGAATTTTTTCTGTACGTTCCCTACACAATCATTGTGATGAACAGTTGTACACTCATCTCCCTAGTTTTGCAAATCGTCTGTTTTTCTCAAAAGTATTTTTTCATGATACCTTTGAATTGATCGTTATTAATTTATATACACAGTAATTATATGTTTATTAAAGATCAATCAGTAAAAATTTTTCACGAAATATTTATGGACTAGACTGCTCCAGCACTATATGCTAGTTTTCCCTACCACCCTCCCCCCCCCCCCCCCCCCCCCCTATTCAAACAGAAGAAACAATCGCTAAAACGTCGATGTTATTAATAACATTAATTAAAATACACTTTTATTGCTTCCTACATTTCATTCTAATGACATTGATACTCAATTAGATCTCTCCACTTTGCTATGGATTCTTTCTTTTATGTACCTATGTTTAATCTTACCTTTCTTTTTATGTTTCTTTATGCAAGCAGTCGGGGAAGCAGAATGATGTAGCCAAATAATAATTATTGCTCATAGTAAGGACATTCATTTTATTAATTTTTACATATCATTATTTGATGTTTTACACACAGGCTTTCTTCTTACCCATCGCTTCATGAAAATGTACATATATGTAACTTTCTTGCATAAGAAACGCTGTATGTAGTGCATTTCATAATTAAAGCTGATTGTTTAACATCTTATGTAGCCACCAATTTAATATTGTTTTGCATGTTTTTATTTTATATTATTAACATTATTGAGCACTAGAATGAGCATACCTTGTTAATAATTATGTGAATGATTTTGTGTAATGCAAAATATCCTCTGTAAAATATCTCTGTAAGAATATTCAGTAATGTCTATGTACTCACACTGTAACCACAAGGCATGAAAGTATTTTTTTTTTTTACTTTTTGTTGAAACGTTCTGCTATAGTACATGAAAACATAAATATACCGTAATACCGATTTTCACGTTGTGATGTGAGAGAGAGTCTTTATGCTTTGTTAAACAAGTTCGTTGAAACGCTATATTTTTTAGCTATGTTTGCAAGCATAAGTGCAACGTGTAATCGTGCATAAATTGGTATTACATTCGTAAACATATAAAATAAGACTAGAGCTAATCACAAGCGACGTGGTGAATATCTGTTAGTGAGACATTATTGTATTGTGTATGGTATATAGCTCTCTCGCTGGAGCTCGACCAGCTCGTTATCACGAGAGGTGCAGAGCTACACAATGAGGGATCCGCGACTCCTTCAACGGAACAAGGTAATCCAATGGCATTAACTTCTCCCACATTTCCAAGGTGACCACTTTCCGAAGTATTACTACGAAACAGTATTACTACGGGGTTGACGGGGGATTACACTAGTACGATTTTTGTCTTCTAATCAGTTTATTCATGTGCTAAGCAAGATTCTTATCATGACTTAACGCTACTTACTAAAACTAGCTTACGCTTATCAATCATTATCAATCGCTACTTTCATAAGATTTTTAATCATAGAATCATAGGAAAACTTGGTAAAGGATTATATATATATATATATTCAGGTTTTGTAAAATAACTTTATACATCGGTTCAGTTACTTTTAATTTTGTTATTTGTTGATATATATGTATGCATATAACTGTTCCAATTTATGTCTTATCTTTTTGCGCATTGTAAATTACAAATGCGCAGTCACGTATTTTTAACGAAGGATAAGGGTTTAAAAAAATGTATGTTCCCTTACTGCTTACATACAAACTGTAGTTAATACGAATAATTTTAAAATAAGAAATTGTGCAAGCTCGAAAATTGAAGAACTTACTTTCTATTGTAGTACGTTATTACGTAAAATTATTAACTTTTTACTAATTTTATGTAGTTTAAACCAAGAATATTTTCTAGGGACCAATGATGTTCAACCCGAGTGACATGAAGGATCGTTCGGTGAAGAACATGCCACCTAGCAGATATCATCCGTGATAATTTTTCGCAACCACTCATGAGAAATAATTTGTTATTTAAATTAGACGGTTTCTTATATAATTGTAGTTGTATTTAATGTGAATATCTGTTTCTGTATAGAAAAAACGTGACAACAATGGTATATTTTTTAGAGTGATGCTCGGTGCATATAGTCTTTTTCGAAAAGATGTGTACGTAAGAATCTAGAAGATACACGTCTTTTTAGACACTTCACATATTCGAATTATCTAGATAAATTTTTACATTTAAAATTCTATTTGAATTTGTTATGGTATTTATCATGGCGAATTAAATATTACATTAAATTTATTTAGAATAAGATGTCCACGCGGAATATAGGAAATATAGGAGGAAATATAATTTTAGCGATTGCAATGTGGCGTAGATAATTTGTGTCCGAGCACGTATAATGATTTGTAAACTAAAAGTTTTCATTGTACACTTTTCAATTGAAAGAATATGCTCTTTTCAGATCAATTCTCACGGAATGTTATTTCGTGTGCAGTGTAATGAATTTATTTGAAAGTTCTGCACCGATTTCCGTTTTTATTAAACACGTATTTCCACCAGATGATTACTTATACATTTGCTAATCATCGTTTTGAAAGTGCGCGAGTGCATTCCCGTTACTATGTTTCGTTTAGCGTCTGTAAGTAAATTATCATCGGTACCGGATTCAATGTTACGCGAAGATTCGAGTTCTGCAAACTCGAATTATATGTGAGTGAGATGTAAAGTTAATATTTTTACGTGCAACCTGTGTAATCGGAGATCTATCTAAGTTACAATTAAATAATCTCTCGCTTCGAAGTGTCTTGTAAACGTGTGACGATAGAGAGAGGATTGTACGCTGATTGTATAGTTTAACTAGAACTTGTTACAACATGGCCTCAGTATGTGCTGTAATTCTAAGTCTGATTTTATATGTACGGAGGAAGAGAATGAAGTATCGTAGTGCCGATAAATACGAAATGTTAGCGATATGAGAATTTTATCGAGGGTAAGGGGGGAAATAGCGTATTAAGCGAATGATAGGAATACTGTTGTTAGATGTTGGGCTTATATACAATATTACGAGATACACCAATAAATACGCAACTGCCATCAACGTACGGATAGTGTGAAATGAGTGATGAATTTGTATCGCGTTTTCACTGGTTTAATCACGTTAGATTTGTAAGATAACGTCCGTGGTGTCTATCTCTGCGAGATAGTTGCAAGTATTGATAAGGGACAGTAAAGGATTCTAGCAAAGAATAGGCAGACGATTTTAGTGTACGTTGAAATATATCTCTTATCGGAAAATAAATGTCTTGGAAGATATCTATTTTTTGGTAAAGAGTGAGAGTACCTTTGCAAGTAAAGGCTCTTTACTTGGTTCAACCTATCGTCGCCCTGCGCTTCGTCCTATACGGATACACTGTTAATTGTTCAATTTTTAGAATCTTTTGTTGAAGATATTGACTACGACGGTTCGTCTCGATTTTTCTCGCTGATAAACGTCCCGTAATATTGTCAAGCTTGAGAAACTTTCCATAGAGTATTTCGGAACGGCAGCAAATGTTTGGTACATAGATATTCATTGACCACAAATAGAAAAGATTGGTTTTAGAGATAATTTTTGTAAATTGTGACACTCGTAACACATTTTATATCTGTGACATACGAATTAGGTATATCTTAGATGCATATATTATAATATATTATAATATTATAATATATATATATATATATGTTACAACATGTTGATACTGTTGCAGAGATGCCGCGTGTAAGTTTTATATATCTATGTATGTATACGTGAACTCTAGATTTGTACATATTCTAAATGTAGCTTTCGTAAATTTGTCCTATCGCAATTGTTTATATAGAGAATTCTCGCGCTTGTTTTTTAAACACCGAAATGAATCCCGCGCTATATCTTCGCCGAAATGTAACCAGAGTTCTATTTGTGGTGAATGGCAGCTTGCTGCGATCACCGTTAGTCACATACAGTTGATCGAAACGTTAAACTTTCGTCAAGAAATCTCTATGCAGTCGTTACAGCTGAAATATGCACGTTTCTCTTAATCCTTACACGCGATCGAGCTTAAGTTGAGAATTCGGGTGGCGATGCAGAATGTGCAATCGAACTATCGTCTTTTTTGTTTCTTATTATTAGTGTAAAATGAAAATGTGGTCGACTCGCTCGAGATAGAGCTCAACAAAACGGTGATATATCGCGGCGGGACGGCAAGCGAGAAGAAAAGAGAATTTTCAGATTATCGTTAAAATTGAACAAAAGTATTAATCGAGCTGTAATTGTAATGTATGTATAGACCGGTTTATGGAACGACGCGATTTCGTCTTTGATGTAACATATTGCTATATATTGCTATATCACGCACCTTCGAATTCCGAGTTGATGTACGTTTATGGAGGATAAGATTGCGGATTACAATGATAATAACAATAGTGATAATCTATAGTGTATATTATTAATATTAGGATTCACTGTCATAATTATAACTATTGATATTATAATAAAGAATAATACAAATTGAAAGACACCTTACTTAGCGACTATGGGATGGGAATGCGAGGGGGATGAAGAATCGAAGACGCGTTGTATTTTTCGATCCTTTTATTAAGTTTATCATAATGCTTCGAATCGATACAATGATTTCTGTGGTATACTGTCGTCTTTCGGGCCACAACGTCGACGATCGTCTCTCCCGCGCACGGACGTATGTGCTCTGAGATCATCGTACACGAAAAATGCGTATACGAAATCGGCGACCGGAGGACGCCGCGCGGTGTATTTCCGGTGTGTAATATGCAAAGTGAGTAGGCGCGCTCTCGCGTTGTCGAAGAAATCAATCCAAAAATATCGTCGTCTCTATGGGCGCGACACCGGGATCAAATTGGTCGAAGGAGCGAATTACAGAGAGGGGTGTTCTTTAAGCGACGACAGTTAACGCCGTGACACCGATGACACTCCGAGAGGCGGAAAAAAAGAAAAGAAAGAAAAAAAGGGGGAAAAAAGACAGTTAAATGCAATTTAACAATCTTATCAGCGTGCACGTCGAGCGTGTACGACCGGCCGTGTCTCTCGTTATTTCTGCCTCCTTTTTTTCCTCTCTCTCTCTCTCTCTCTCTCACTCTCACTCTCCGCTATTGCGTGTAGACGGAAGTCGGAGAGGGTGATGGGGTTGGCGGGCGAAGGAGAAACGGAGAGACTCGGGGAGGATGAGGAGGATAAGGGGAGAGGAAGAGAAGAGCGCACGAAGGATATAAATATATAATAATATCTTATACCGCGCGCGCGCGGCGCGTATTTTCGTAAAGTACGCTAAACGTTATTCCTTCTTTTCTCGTCAATCTCTCTCTCATACACACACATTCTCTCTCTCTCTAGCTCTCTCTCGCACGGTATTATCGATCTGCATTTCTTTTGTTTCCTTTTCTTCATTTTGTTATCGTTTCATTTATTAAATGTTAAGAGTAGAGCCTATAAAGGGACGCCCGGAGGTGCGCTCACAGCGAACCCCGGGCGCACTTTTTTTTTTTTTCTCGTATACTAGCTGTGCCGGAACGCACTTGTACTGGTCGCACAATCGGCGAAGGATTCGGCTAAAGACTGTCGAGACCGAAATCGTTATACAATGTTTTAAACGGTATGTATTAAAAAAATAAGCAGCGAATTCGAAAACGAGCGAGTCAAGAGCGTGAGATCGAATCCAGACTGAGCATGAATGAGCGCGAATTCTAGATTTACTTCAAAGTTAAGTTTCTTATCGTTAGGGCAGAGCACAGATTTTTCCATAACGCATAAAGCAGAAGAGAATCTCAATCGGAGTCTTTTATTTCATAGGAAAGAGAGAAATGAAGTACTTCGATTCGTTCATTTTTTCATGCATTACGCGTATGCAAGACTCTATATAATTCTCATTCTTAGGTCGAAGGAAAAAAGATCATTATGAATGTTCGCTCGCAATCATAAACATACGCGAGTCGCAGCAATCTGTATATATTATCGGCAAAACGTTCATCCCGTTCGATTGAAATAGAGACGAAAGTGAATCGATAAAAGAATGAGAAGAGAATTGCATTCGGCAGCCAATCTTTAGCCGAGCGATTCGCTCGCGACATATTATTTAACAACAGAGTTTAACCACCTAATCGCTCGGAGGATTACTCGTAACTCCCCGTCTCGGCTTTGTTTATACAATGAATAGGATATAAAGATCCCTTTTTTCCCCTCTCTCTCTCGTGTTTACCTACGTGCTAGACAATAAATGATCCAACTGCAATTCATTACGATAATATCAAATCGATGAACGATAAATGAAAAGAAAGAAGGCAACAAATTCCAAGGTGTGAAAATCGTTTGAGAAAAGAAGAATGGAAAAAAAAATACATACGTCTCTCTTTTCTCTTTCTCGAGTCGACGATTAACTTTAATATAAACCCATAGATACTTATTATCATCATAATGATACAATTACAGTTTGCGATTATCACAATGCGAGAACCGCCAATAATAATAGTAATAATAATAATATCAATGATAATAATGGCAATATAATAATTAAAAATAAACTAGTTAATCATAACTAATAATAATAATAATCATCTTCGCCATACTAATTACCATCGTCATTACAATGATTCATTTAGCCGTTATGGTTGCCTATATACTATCCTCTTTTATATATACTTCTATATATATAGCTACAATATATAATATTTTCGTGTTGAAAAATCGTATACATTAGTGTTGTGTCGCAGGACCATTGCTTCTGTCTCACTCTCTCGTTCATTCTCGCACTTTTATGTACTTCTCTCAATGCGTCTGCTATGTATCATTCCGCGTTCCGCTATATATATTTTTTTGCTTGGGGGGGGGGGGAGAACACTGTCGTCGATGGCTGGAAGCATTCGTGTCAATGTAAAGTATGTTGGAGAGAATCGCAGATCGCGGAACGGATATCGCAGACCCCCCCTCCCTTTCTTTCTCGCACAGGCCGTTTATAGGGTATTTTGCGCGTGCATTGACTCCGCAAGTGCGGCTTTTCGCTTCGTAAAAAGCTTAAAAATATTCGGTACGATCTGGTAAGATCGCGAGACGCATGACGTTTCTCGAGGTAGAGATCCCAA